ATACGGATATAGTCAAGTGAGGTATCCATTTAATGGGAACAAGTACTGGTATCGTGAAGAGATATAAAACATAATTAGAGAAAGTAGTGAGCTCGGGGGATGAGAGGGGTAGTAAAAGAAAGTATAGGGGTTGAGATGTTTAAGTCGTTAAAAGTATGTCGTAGTAGAATGCCTTTATAGTGAAAATGTTAAATAGAAAGTTTACAAAAAGAGCAAAAAAGGAAAAAAAAATTGTAGGGGTGTAAGTACTCATAGAATAAGACACGTAATAGATATATCTAAAAGTTTGAATTTTTTGATGAATTTAGGCGTCAACAGAAAAATTTTAGGAGTAATAAAGAGAGAAAAAAAAAAGAAAAATTCACCCCCGGGGGATGAAATTGAGATAAGGGTATTTTTGAGCTCAAATGGGGGTAATCACTATCGAAGGGGGGAGGGGGGGCGCTGGCCGCTGGAGTAGGGGGGAGGGTGAGGGTCTATGTCGAATCAAAATTTGTTGGTGTCCGCGGACTTAGCACAGTTTGAATCAGTTTTGACAATTTTTTTTTAAATAATACAAAAAAAAGTATGAGAATGAAGACAGCTAGTACAAGGGACCTATTTGTTCTTATGCAGTTTTTGTGTAGGGAGGGTAGTAACGAAGATATAGGGGGTGAAGTACCCCTAACATGAAAGATAAAATTTCATAACAGTATGTAGTGAAATGGATTACAGGGATTATAAAGACATAAATGCTAATAACAAAACGTTGTAGTATCACCAGGAAAACAGATATAAGGGTGAATTACCCCTAACCTAGATGGTATAATTTCATAAAAGTATGTAGTGAAATGGAATGGAGTGGTAATATAGAGATGGAAATGCTAATAACAAATTCTTGTAATATCACCAGGGAAAAAGATATAGGGGTATTATACCCCTAACATTAACTAAGCCATTTCTGTAAAATACTTATAGAAATCGAGGGTATCAGTAATTGGAAGACATAAACAATAATACAACAAAAGCATAAAGTCATTAGAGACAATGATGTGGGTGTAAATGACGCGTTAAAGAAAATTTTAAAATTTTTAAAATAAGTTTATGAACATGAAATTAATGTAATAATAATAAGAATGCATAGATGTTGTAAACTCTTTTATTGGGTTGGGTTTATGGTCTTACGGCTAACGAATAGATAGTTAATGGTTCTAGTGTTTTTATTTTTTATTTATATGTTTCACAGAAACCTTAAAGCCTACAACCTTACAAATAAAATCTTAGACATAATTCCTTAAAACTAAAATGCATAACGATCCATCCATGATTAAGGACTGGTATACCCTGAATCTGTGGATGGATCATCGAGATCCCATACGAGATTGTCAATCCGAACTGCTTCTGGAATGTCAACCTCGAGTGGTTCGTCAAGAGGAGCAAGGTTGTTATGGAGATCTTCAATCTCCAATTCACCTTCCGACTCACTCTCTGACGAAGGTGCCTCCTCCGCATCTTCAGCCTCAGTTTCCTCGTCAGACTCGATGTCGGCTACGTCTGCTAACAGAGCATTACCGACATCGGGTGCAACACCTCCCGCATTGAATAAAATCAATGTGGATTCTGTGCTGTCAAAACTGAGCGGACTAGCCCAGCCATCTTCATGGAAGACATACTCATCTTGATCGCGACCATCCATGACGATGACTGAGACGCGAAGGAATGGAAAGGAGACCAGAGTGAATAGATATAGATGCTCCCCTCCTCCGTTGCCAGATGGTGGAAAATCGAGGTCGCGAAAGTATAATTATGGGATGTTGTGAAATGTAAAATCGAGCATAAACGATTATGGGGTAATAAATTTTGACTGTTAATTAAAAGGCAGATGGTAGATATCGCGAAGGTAGAAAGTCGTGAAAGGTGGGTAGGAGGACATGTATTTATATCAGTGTCGATGGTGCACACCGTCACTGCAGTCTAAACGCTCCATATTGGACGCATCAGTAAAATAGTATATTATAAAATTGTTTTCTGTGTTAGGTTGCCAAAATGTGCTCAAGAGAGCGTCTGTGTGCGCCTGGAAAGCAGTGCAAGTACTGCACATTCTCCGATAGTCAGCGCCCAATTCTAGAAAAACTGTTGAAGCCCCAAGTTGTACGTATACTACAAAATGTTCAGGTTGTGCCACCACTTGAAACCGTTCGCGCTTCGATGCCTAGTACTTCGGCGAATGATGTATCCGTGGAAATTGTTAGCATGGGCTCGCAAACCATGCTTAACAATTTTATCGCCGACGGACAAAATGTGTCGAACGATGATGGCGACATCAACATTGAGGCATTGTTAGCATCCCTCAATCCGGACCTGGACAGTGCAACAATGATGGATGCGTACAATGCTTGGCCATCATTGGAACTGAGTTTGTTGGGAGCGGAGTCGAGGCCGTCCACGTCCAGAGCCACTTCGACACCCCAAGAGTCGTTGATGTCTGCCGCGGTCGCGAGTGAACGGTATGGTGCGGACGAGGAACTATATCGCCACACGTGGATCGAAGATTTGCCGTTCACGCAACTTGAACGGGCCGCGTGTGCGCGCGACGTCGAGTTGAGAGAACCGTTGGCACAACTTCAACAGATCGCGATGGAACTCAATCGGGATACGTGGATTGAAGATTTGCCGTCACGCAACTCGAACGGGCCGCGTGTGCGCGCGACGTCGCTAGACAGTGAAGGGACAGTTAAGTTAAGAGGGATGAACTGGTTTCGAAATGGGCATCAACTACAGAATGTGCATATTGAGGCGCTGGATCTGCTGATGTTAAGGTACTACATACCGGTAGACATGTAGAGGTGTGACAAAAAAAACATGCAAAGGGTTCAAAACAACGTACAGCAGCTAAAATATTTTTTTGTTTCAGATGCGACATAAGCAGATCCAGAAGATGGTGTGGTGGCTGCCGCCTCCCCGTGGCCACACTGGATAACGCTAAGCGCAGCCGAATATATATATATATATATATATAATGATTTGTTGCAGGAACAGAGTAAATACGTACACGCTTCACGATGTTCCAATGTCTAAAGTGCGAAAGGACCTTCACGGCGAGAAAAAATTTGTTGAAGCACGGTAGAGAGCGGTGCAGCCAAGATGGTGAGCCAGCATCGAAGCGCATCTGTCTTCGAGATGGAACAGGTATTGAACAATTAGAAAATAAAATCGAATAAAATCACTAACAGAATTATCTGTTTCAGCATCCTTTAACCAGGAAGGTGGTACCTCCAGCATTCCCCAATCCCCAAGTCTCGAGGACAGTAATGCATCCTCTTCGCGCCGCACTGCAGACAAGTTGCAATGTTTTCGATGTCAGCACACCTTCTCAGCACGCCATAATTTACTGCGACATCTTAGAGAGGTCTGCATAAGCGAGAAAAGACCTTCCAAGCAACAGCGTATGGAGGGTGAGATTACTAACAATGAGCCAACTATTGCAGATTTCATCACCCAGACAGCCGCAGGTGTCAACATTAGACGAGTGAACCCTGCAACACCCCCCGTCACAGTGCCTGGAACCAGTCGAATGAGTCCTACACCATCCGACGTCGTAGTGCCGGGCGCAAGTCGAGAGAGTTCAACCACCGGCAACGATTCACAAGCGAGTGCGGGTAGCAGGACAATTCGCTGTGAGAGTTGCAGCTGTGAGGTATCGAGGAATGCACATGCGGCACATCTGAAAAGCATTAAACATAAGGCACATCTATGGAGACCTTTACAAAATAATATGTCAGTATGTCGAAGTGCATTCCGAGGTAGAATAGTTAGTTATCAAATAACCGCTAGCATAGAGACTTTGAACGTTACTGAATATATGAATAATGTGGCACAGGACTCCATAAACGTAATTGAAAATGAGTTGCATAAGCATACAACACTCAAAATAAATATGGAACTTTTTGGTTTATATATTTTACCAGCTAAAAACCGACGAGAGGTAAAGTCCC